CCCATGATTGCCCACTGTCAGAGAAAGTAGCACCCATTCCACTGCTAGGTCTCCACATTGTTCCATCACTGTTATTACTGTTTCTCAATGAAAAATGTGCATTTTCTTTCTTAATTCCAGCTAGGGATACAAGAAGTTGCTGTAATGCAGTTTGATTATTTGTGCTACCTGTTTAAATGTTTTTTCAAGGTATGCAACAACACAGCAACATTTCAACACTCTTAAGTCATGTACTTTGCATTAAAAAATTTGCAAGCTGATAATGTACCCACCTGTATGCAGATTTATGCAATATTTTCATTCAACTCATACTGAAAGGATAGTATAACGAAATTGACTGCATTGAAATGTCACAAGTATTAGCTTTGTGATTTACATCATTGACTGAATTTTTTCTCCTGCTATGTCACTGCAATTTTCACTTACCATCTGTAGAAACGTTCGAATGGTTGTTGTTCCCCACATACAGTCATATTTGTGAAGTTCACAAGGCATATTTGTATTGCTGTGCAGTGTCGTCATAACAGCTCTGTCAGGCCATCAGAAAGCAGACTTATGAGCTCTCGATAGCAGTACTGTACTTTGATTGGATTACCTGGCTTAGATTTTGAGCAGTTCGGAATAAGCAATCTCAAATTTGAAGTTTACCAATCTCTATGTAAAATAAAATGTAAAATGGCTCCAGGCACTTTGAATGGAAATAGTCTGTGTGTCACTCAACTTTTATGCTTTGGTGATCAAGTGCATGTTTTAGGTGAACCACCTTCCAGACAAGTTTACATATGCCCGTTCCTTTATACATTGTACAGAGCGTGTCATAAAGTGAGGCAATCTATATCAATGTATATATAGTATAACACAAATACAGCATCCAATATTTCAAACACTGAAGCGTAAATAAGCTAGAACATTATGCAGTAGTGTTTAAGTAGAACCCTTTTCTGGGTTGGCTAACCTTCCTGTCCACCCCGCCACGGTGGTCTAGTGGCTAAGGTACTCGGCTGGTGACCCGCAGGTCGCGGGATCAAATCCCGGCTGTGGCGGCTGCATTTTCGATGGAGGCGGAAATGGTGTAGGCCCGTGTACTCAGATTTGGGTGCACGTTAAAGAACCCCAGGTGGTCGAAATTTCCGGAGCCCTCCACTACGGCGTCTCTCATAATGAAATGGTGGTTTTGGGATGTTAAACCCCACAAATAAATCAATAACCTTCCTGTCCTTCCGCTTATTTGTTTCCACCTTTTCTGGGTATTCAACTATACCTGACTTAACTTTACAAAACCCAGGGTTTCAATTTTAGTTACATGGAATTCAGAAACTATGCAATAATACACTCCTGCGTAGACTGCGATAAGCTTTCATTGAGTGCTGCTTTGATTGATTTTTGGGGTTTAATGTCCCAAAACCACGATATGATTATGATATGAATATGATTACGATATGAATATGCACATGTGAAGCAAATACATGCAATGCAAATGAAGACATGTTTGAATACATATATTAGAAACTGTCTGCTGTGTCTTGACTAAGGCCAGTGCCTTAAAAAAGAGGTGAAGGCATAGTGCCACATGATAGTCCTGTACTGAATGCATGTGTGATAAAATATGGTAGCATATTCTATCAGTCACTTTAATGAGCGAAGTTTGTTTCTTCAAGAACACGTTGCAGAAGGAATTTCATAAATAGCGCTCACCAGACCACATCCGAGTGCACTGTAAGTGCTGCAACTGCCTGTAATGAATAAGCTCATGATTATGGTTGTCCTAATAATGTAATAGTAAAAATCTTAAATCTTGTACTTCAGTTTTTTCAGATTAGCTGTAGTAGTCATTTCATGATGGTGAATAATCCACAACACAACATCCATTTTATGAAGGCTACAGCAAAAAAAATGTGGCTCTTAAATGTAAATTTTCAACCATAACAACAATAACATTTAATTTGCTTTCTGTATAATTCTGGCTTAATAATAAAATGATTGTAATTTCAACGAAGGCAACATGGTCTGGTATAGTTCTAAATGCCGCAGCTCAGCATTGGATAATTTATTATTCACTGCATGAAAGCCATTTCAATCTTTGCCGAAATGCATCCTGCATGGTTTCCAAACAAGGCTAATTTCAGTCTTGCATGATTATGAAACATATCGAATGTACCGTTTTGCAGCTTCATACTACATCTGTGTTGGTTACAACTTTTTTTTAAGGTTTCCAATTGCTGTTGACTCTCTTTGGAGCCATAGGTTAGCAAAGAGTTGTACTTAGTCATACTAGCTCGAGAAATGCCTATATCGTGCACTTTGGACTCGCTCGAACTTTGACGCACCAAAATTTTCCTGAGCCGAACTCACCGAGACTCATACTCGCACAAATTTTCTTCAGCCAGACTCGCCCAAGTTCGCTCTGATTCACGGCTTGATCCAAGAAGTCTGAATTAGTTCGAGTGAGTTGACTCACGAGTCTGATAGCCTAGAATCCACTTTTACGGCCAGGTGGCAATGCTCTTTAACACCAATATTTCACATAATCGGTGCTGTGCTTGGTGCCTTTTGATATAGTACCTTGGAATACGGGTTATGAGTGGTAGCAAACCAGCAAGGACATTTTTCTTGAAAGAAGGGACAAAATGACATATATTTGTCAAGAACTTCCCTGGGACAGTTAGCTGGACGGGGTCAAGGCACCCCCTACGTAATTCACAACTCTGAATAATAAATACTGAAATGGTGTATCAAGCCTACTGCTTTGGAATACGTGTGAGTAGATGTGGGTATATACGTGCATCCGGGCAAAGTTGATGGTAATGCTGGAGATGAGCAAATGGGAGCATAGGTCGGCGAAAAAAAAGTGGAACTCACTCAGACTCGCTGCTGTATGTGGTGTGTTTCTTGAGTGGAAGCGAGTGTGAGTGTTCTAAGTTGCACTAAATGTACAAAGAGAATCACTCAAGAAATACGCCTTGTGTCCTGTACTCACTCAGACTGGTGTTCATTTATTCGTTCATTCTTTATTCCTTAAAGGCCCCAAAAAGGGGTATTACATAATTGATGGGTTTACAAAAATAGAAAAAAAAATTATGGTGAAAGAAATGCAGACACTTCTTCGATGAACTCAGATGAGCAGGTGATAGTAGCGATGTCGTAAGGAAGGCCGTTCCAATCTACAGCTACACGAGGGAAAAAAGAAGATTAAAAAGTGACAGTGCACACTTTGTGGCGAGTGCCATTTAAAGAATGACCGGTACGATGTGACACTCATGCTGCTGGCGAGATGTAGGTATGGTGCGATGGCAAGGGAACTGTAAAAAAATCTGTAAAACTGTGCAACACAGTTTCATGAAAGTTTTCTCCAACCAGACTCATTCAGACTCAAACTCGCCAAAATATTACTCACCCGAATTCAATCAGACACGCAGCTCGATCTGAGTCTTAGTGAGTTCAGCAGCCTATGTTTGGAGCACATGTAATTCATATAATGTAGTTATTGTGTTGTATAGAATTGCTTAATTGATAATAATAATAAATATATTATTTTTTTATTTACATGCAACTTTAGAGAGAGTTGACATGTTCAAAGATACAAGCATAGAGAATGTAGGGTAACGTAATAATAACCTGTATCCAAAAAATTGGCTGTGGTCTAACTCAGTTATGCCCGAGTATGCGTAGCGAGAGGTATGAATAATCTTATTGTTTAGCTTGGTTCTCCGTCTGGTTCAATTCTCAAGGAGTGCAGCCCATTTTTCCTCCATCTCCTCAGCTCGCTGTAGCATCTTGGTTTCGCTCCGACGATAAAGTCTAGCTTCTTTTCATATCTGCCAACAAATCCCACCGAGCTACCCCTTCTACATACACACAATGCAACACAGTTTCACTGGCACAGTTTCACCTCCTCTTAAGTCATGCCAGATGGCATGGTGAGCTATGCTGCCAACTGCAGCAGTTGCTTGGCAGTGGCTCAAATGGTGAGAATATCGCCAATGTAGCTCTCGCTACAAAAAAAAGAAAATGTTGCGTACAAGTTGTGAGACTCTCGCTCTCAGTTTTCTTGCTGTCGTACAAGTTGTGAGACTCTCGCTCTCAGTTTTCTTGCTGTCTGCTGCAGACCTAAAAGCACAATTGCCCATACATGTGGCACACATAGATGGCATTGGAATATTGCATGGCAGAGGGGTGGATTATGCAGTCTATAACTCCAGCGGAAAAGCTTAACGTAAGTGAATGACAACTTTCTGCCATCCACTTGTTTGCTTGAAGAAATTGTGCCTGCCACTCTCGTTTTGGCATGCTGGGAAACAATACTCCCCAATTCATAATATTCCTGTTCTGATCTTTGGCAGTTATTTTTTATTGCAGCTGTACCGCCTTGTCACTCATCAGACAACTCCAGAAGATATATACTTACCACCTCAGTAACTGTATTACCCACTTCGCTCCATTGAGTGATTGTTGAAACAAACGTTTTACCAATAAATGTGATTTCTGAAGCAACTGCGCCAGTCTCCACCAGCTTAAATTCAGAGGCCCACAGAGAGAACACCTCTGTGGTTCACCAAAGCAGTGAAAAGACGTAGCATTGACAAGTTCTGGAGCGAAATCCAAAAATTGTACACAATGTGTTTAAATGCAGTTCAATTGATGCTCCATTTCTGATGGAGGCGAAAATGTCGTAGGCCCGTGTGCTCAGATTTGGGTGCACGTTAAAGAACCCCAGGTGGTCAAAATTTCCGGAGCCCTCTACTATGGCGTATCTCATAATCATATGGTGGTTTTGTGACGTCAAACCCCACAAATCAATTGATTCTCTCTCTCCCTATTTTTTTTTGTCACTGTTACTGACCAGCTAACTTCCAAGTTAACAATGAGACACTATGCCACTGTTTCTTCACAGTGACATATCCAAACCTGTTCTACATTCTGTCGATTTGATACTGTATCATGGATACTGTATCATAAATAGTATCATGGTATTGATTATATATATGTAGTTACATGTGAAGGATGGTAAGAGATCCACAGTTTATTAACTGCAAAAATCACAATCACTGAAGCCTTCTGCCTTCTATATCTAGCATGAGCATTGTGGATGTCAAGCTATTTAATCCTTTTATTAAGCACTTGTTATCGCTCTCATTTCATGCATCATCAAGACAAGATACGTAATTTAACAGTCTGCATTCTTGTGTTGTAAGATGCCGATTATCAGCCAAGCGCCTCTTCTACTACACAGCAACAGTTGTCTCACATTGTCCATTACGCCAATATGACCTGTCCATGTACAATTTAGATCTGAGGAGTGCAAAACTATGCCTTGTTATCACTCTCATTAGAGCTTCAAGTCAACTAGGAGCTGAAACTGAAAATCCTTTTTCCTTGTCGAAATCACTGTTTTTGCTAAAATTGATGATTTGAAGTTTTGTCACTTTAGCATGCTTTAATATTTGTCTTCACTGCATCTTTTGTAAGCACGAATCTGACATCTGAAACCCACATTTTTATGCAAACTAATTTATTGCCAACCAATATTCCATGGCTAACACCATATGTGCCTCAACTTTAGCCATGCAACAGCCATATTCCAGCACGCCTTGGTTTTAATCTGAAACTTGCAAGTATCAGCTGTGATTAACCATTACTTGGAGGACTTGCAAAATCTTGCAAGTTTTGAAGAGGTCTTGCACTGGGTACAACCGTACCATCAACATGCAGGGTCAACTGTGGAATCAAGAGAACATCGCAATAGTGAGTTCAAAGCCATCTGAGTGTGGCAATTTGTGCCACATGGTCGGACGGGAAGCGTGCGCTGGGCAATGCTTCCTCTTGGGTCACCTGTTCATGAGTTGGCATAGGTACTACATGCTCCCGAACTAGCTGCATGTAGTCGTAGAAAATGTAGTCCAAGCAGCCCTGAAAGCCTTTTGTGTAGTTGGTGTAGGCAGGAATGCCGCACGCACTTGCCAAAAGAATCTGCTGCTTTGCCTCCAGGCCCACCACAGCCTCTTCAACATCTGCATGCATTGGAACATTCTTGCTGAGCTTATTATGTAGTGAGAGCAGTAACATTAAAATCTTACGTGTCTCGTGAAGAATTGATTTTGTTTTAATAACCACTTTTCCTGTTTATATGACAAAACATGTAAACATTTTTTTTTACCTCACAGGGGCTCTTGAACATCTTTTTGGCTGCTTTCTGTACATAGCACATTTAGAATCAGCTAAAGCCACAATGTGCTATGATACTATGCTATACATATATTATGGGTAAAAGTCAAAGCAGGAAAGTTAAGAGTGATAGAAGAGGAAGATGAAGTGAAGCTGGACACCACGCATTTTAGGGCAGCGTACAAACGGACAATACGCAATGAAGTAACACATGACAAGCGCTGGTCTAACAAGTTGTTAGGGTTGGGCATGTTTTCTTCACATGCATTGTCTGCTTGTACACAGCCCATGCATGGTTAATTTTTTACAAACCTGCATTTCAATTCTGCTTGGTACTATTGTGTATTGTATCATAGTTAAGAATACTATGGTTAAGTAAAGAGCATCTCGCAGTGTGCTGATCTATGTTTACCATGTTCTAGCCTCGGCAAAGCTGTCACTGGCAATCTGACACTTTCACGTTTGGCTTGTGTACCTCTTGTGTCCTTATTCCCGACATTAATGAGAAATCATCAAACTGTAACTGAAGATAAATCCCTTCATCGAAACATTCGCTCTGGCGATGTTGCTTATTCAATGATTTTTAACTGCCTAAAGCCTCGTTTGCATACCTCACATTATTAGACAAATTTATCAATTATGGTAGAATGAAAATGTTGCAACAACCAATTCTTAGACAATTCTTAGATTAGGGGGCTTGGCTTCACCTTTGTGAAGACAGATAGTCATGTTGGTTAGGGCTGCAGCGATGTATTCCCTTTTCAGCAACTTTTCATCTATGCAAGCTTCCATTTTTCCTCTTAACTTCCTGTGTCTGCAATCCTAATGAAGTCATTTCCTGCTTTCCAATGCACAAAGCATGACACACAGACTTGATGTTTGTTTCCATATATGTGTAATAACAACAAAGTTCTTATATATCCTATACAGCATTCATACATACGAGCTGTTAATTAAACACACAAGCTTAGAAATACAGTTCAACCTCTTTAGTATAAGAGGGCGTCTCTGGGCAGCAGTTCTCATTTCTTTTATGAGATCTCCCTTGTAAACAGGGTACCTTGTATGCATTTTCTTAACAAAACGTATTTTACTGTAGGCAGACTGGTGTCTCATACCCATTTGTCTCTTATATTAGTGTCTTTTATAAAGGGGTTCAGCTTTAGTACATGAAAACAGTAACTGTGCACTCACTGCTGCACCAGTCTCTGCTATCTGGTGGTACATATCCACAAGTCATAAGCTGGTACACTCCATACGCAGGACAACTGTTGAAGTCTCCAGCAAAGATGACAGCTGGTACAACACCGTACTGCAATGTTCAAAGTGAAATAAACCGACAAAAAGCTAGTACACTCGCTCGTGACAATGTATACTAGAAGATCCTCACCTCTTCTGTATATTTCCCTTGCAACCACTCAACTAATCTTATACAGCAGTAAGCCTGGAGCAGCCTGATGTGGTCAGAATCTGGGTGGTAGTAAAGGTGCGTGTTGGCCACCAAAAGCAGCCTTCCAGGCATTTCCAAAGGCTCCAGGAGTAAAATCTGCGTGCAAAGTGAAAACTATATCAAAACTAGTCCAGTAACAAGGTTTCTTTATGCTTGAATACTGTGACATTACATATTCTTTCCACAAGTCTTCTGCCAATTAAAAAAAGCATAGGCACCGCTCTGCCATAACTGCATTTCTCGGGACCTTCACATAAAGTTCATCACACCGTACTATACCTATAATATCAGACAAAAAGCAGCTCATCAAAGTATTTATTTTCTACAATTTGTGAAAGTTTGCAATGTACACTTGTTGGCTTTATTGTTGTTTATAGCAGCGGTGCGAGATGGAAAGCTTTCAAACACTTACCGAGCTCTGTGATCCCTGTCATGCCCAGCATACTTACCGAAGAACGCCTCACTAAACCTTTTGCATGAGAGCACACATCAACAAATTGGCAAACTTAAGATATCAAAATATCAGTTTCAGCTATTTCGTCTTTATGCCTTATGCAACCTGCAAACATAACACCATCATGCTACCTCCTCTTTTAATTCTTTCCGTTCGTTGACAAGTATAGTCGTCATGAGATTTTCTACCTACTTGTCTACTATACCCGTCATAGTTGCAGCTACTATTCGCCCCGAGATTGGCCTATAGGAGGCAGCACTGTCACTGCACTAGTGTGGATAGGTGGCCAGTGATGCGAATATGAAAGTACGCCACGGTGCTTTTTTTCTGAGCATTGTGAGCCGACTGTAAACGCATAAAATGCGTTGACAGCTGTCTACTCGCAATATATAATCTGTTCCATTACTGAATGGATACACAAAGCTTGCCGAACATTACTGTTACTTGTAAGAGAAACGCAATCTACCATTGAAAGGAATGTTCGCGCTTGGCGACTGTCTGCACTTTGCACTATGTCACATTTGTATTTTTATTTTAAATTTTAAGTGTTAAGCTTGTGTTCAGTCTACTATGCACTGCTGTAGTGCGAATGAATTCATTCTTCATGCGTGCTGGTCTTGTATACTAAAAGAAAAAAAATAAAGACATTGCATATTCTTGGGCGAACGCATGTAACCGCGAATGCGCATCCACATTTTTTCTCGCTAATTTCTTCATGGAATGAATGTAAGACAGTTTATAAGTTTATTCAGAAATGCCACATGGCGACAGCGCCTTAGTGCGCTTGTTCTTACTCCAATACCAAAATAAAAAGGTACCAGTTCAGCACATAGCTTTTTTCGATTGATTATCTGCATGGCAGTGATGCAACAAAGGATGGGTTATCTGATGAATAAAAGTCCAAGCGAATAATGTTGCTCTTTCAGTCATTCTATAACAACGGCACAAAAGCGCTCAAGGTCATGTATAAAAAAAAAGATGTTTTGCGTGAAATTATACGATATAAGTGTGAGGCATGCTGTCTGGATTAATTTTGAACATCTGGATTCCTTAAAGTGAACCCAAATCTAAGCCCATAAGAGTGTGTAGAAATTTTGCCCAATGTTAAAATAGCGCCCGGTGACTCAAGTTAAATCACCACTGTGTCATTCCATTTTCTGTTCTTTAAAAAACAGTTCAAGTACCTTTAAGAACGGAAGTGTCAGAATTTACTAGACCGAAATATTTTGCTGTAGTGAAACCAGGATCATACAATAAAAGGTTACCTCAAGCACAATTAAAGCTTGTCACACAAAGCTTTTCATGCACTTTTCTACGACATATGCACATAAGCATACTGTTTCTAGGCTTGCATGTTTTAAGAGCAAAGATAGCTAAACACAGATTAAATGTGGCTGCAGACAGCATAACTTATTAAAGAACTGCTGAAATAGAATTGGCTTGCCACCTTAGTTTGATCATTCTTTGCTAGGGAGAAGTAAAAAGCATTTGTTTCACACTGCACGTTATGTTATAAACCCCCCACCCGCCCCGCCGCGGTGGTCTAGTGGCTAAGGTACTCGGCTGCTGACCCGTAGGTCGCGGGTTCAAATCCCGGCTGCGGCGGCTGCATTTCCGATGGAGGCGGAAATGTTGTAGGCCCGTGTGCTCAGATTTGGGTGCACGTTAAAGAACCCCAGGTGGTCGAAATTTCCGGAGCCCTCCACTACGGCGTCTCTCATAATCATATGGTGGTTTTGGGACATTAAACCCCACAAAGATATAAACCCCCCACCCATCTATCACCTACAGGGATCCCTCATCACTTCCGCGGGTCCACAAAGGGTCCCCGAAACATCCAGGCTGAGAACCACTGACATAGTGTGGTAACATCTTTCACAACCTTATGTAATATGCCCACATGAGCATTAACTAAGTTTCACTCAAATCCTAGAAACTGCTGAAAATGCCTTTGGATAAGAACAGGCAGGATTCCTATTAAAAAATATTTTAAGGCAACTAAAGATACATGAGATAAAGTGCAATACTATAACGTAATAATTTCACAAATGGGAATAGAACTCGCCATATAATGCTGTAAAAGCGCCCTGCCGCGGTGGCCTAGTGACTAAGGTACTCGGCTGCTGCTGACCCGCAGGTCGCGGGATACAATCCCGGCTGCGGCGGCTGCATTTATGATAGAGGCGGAAATGGTGTAGGCCCGTGTGCTCAGATTTGGGTGCACATTAAAGAACCCCAGGTGGTCGAAATTTCCGGAGCCCTCCACTACGGCGTCTCTCATAATCACATGGTGGTTTTGGGACGTTAAACCCCACATATCAATCAATCAATCAATCAATCAATCAATGCTGATAAAGCCTTGTCATGAGGCTGTTTTTATAATTAGTTTAAGTGCACGGAATAGGGTAACATTTTTTTGAATTGATGTTTGGTTTTTTGGGTTGCCTGGAATGATAGGGTTTTCGTTAACAATATCCAGTGCACCACACATTTTTTTGCCAATTCATTGAGTAAAAAAAAATCAGGCTTTCGAGACTAACTGTCAAGCCAAGGTCTTTTTTTTAATTGGTGCACAACCCCAGCGTTCTATCTCTAGCGGATTTTAAAAAATTTTAAACTGATAGTTTGTTTGACCTTAGCTAATTAAATTATTTTTATGTATAACGTTTACTTAAAGGCATATGGTGCGGTTGTTGCTAACACGCATAGCATTTACCGAGTCCACTTGCCCTGTGTGTGCGAGATGCGCACAGAGACGTGGTTGTATGCATTTATTTTTAGTTTAGTTGCACCTTTGTTGCTTTTGCTGATTTTGTTGTAAAGGCAAGAGACATTCTCATGCTGATTAATCAAAGATAATGTATAGAAAGCTGAGTATAATTGGAAATTGACACGCTTCAGCTAATAACAAAAACAGGACTGAAAGTCCTCGTGCGAGCACTTCAGCAAGTAAGCTTTATCTTCATTATGCGTCGCCACAAGGACAAAATGTTACCTGTAGTGATAATAGCTACGTTTTCACCTATGTGGATCTTAGAAATCGTGATTACGAGTAACTGCCTGCACCAAATGAGGAGGAAAAATTGCACTCTTAGAGGGCACAATGAATTGTGTTTTTTAAAATGAGGGCCCTCGGAACTTCCACCTTTAAAATCGTTTTAACTTTCAAAAAAGCTTGCATGGCCCGAGTAAACGTTCTCTAGGCCGTTTGATATATCACCGAAGCGCAACATTGTTATATGATGGGGTGAAATAGACTGCCATCGTCAGCGTTTGGTGATTAGGGAGGCAGAAAAGATGACAAAACAAACCACTAGAACATGCTAATCATTAAATTGTTCAGTACATCTTTTTTTTAATAAAATAAATTCGTTTTTTTTTCTTGAACTCTCAATATCTCAAAATCAATTTTTTTCATTACATTTGCCTCATCATCTAAATAACTTGAAAAAATAGACTGATTTTTCAACCCCAATAATCTAAACAATAATATGAAGTTACTGAACTAGAATGCTGTATGTACGTAGAATAGTTTTCATTTTTGGTACTTCTTGGTAAAGAATAGACAAAATGAACTTGCATTGCTACAAAATTTGCTAAAATGTCAACGCTTGACATAAAATTGTAGTTCCAGTTCGATTGGAAAGAGTGGCACCGACAAATGCAGTTGAACAAACCTGAACACATTACATGAAGTAGTTTAAAAGAAAATTGGTCTTACAGTAGCTTTAAAATACATGAGAGGTATAGAGCATATTTTGTGCCCTTAAACTGCATTTGCATGATGAAGTAAAACAGAAAAGCTTGTGTGTAATATGAACATAAAGGTGCTTCATGTTACCTGGAGTGCTGTTGGAAGACTTAAGATTCGGTCCCTCAGTTGCTCGTTTTTGTTGATGCTGGCCAAAATGTCAGACAATACTGGCTCCTGTGTCATTTCTGTGGCCAGTACAATACTGCGCTCATGAAGTGCCCTGTAGAGCAAGAAAAAATGTGAATGAGATCAACATTGGCTTATTAATAATGAGGCATACTAATTACTATCATCAGTTTCTTATAGCACAACACCACTTTAGATCGCTCTATTTAGTTTTTAATGTGGGCTTCCAATACAAACATGAAAAAGTGCGTAAAATGTCCCCAAAAACTGTCCATATAAAGGAAGACCACCCTTTTGAACCCCTTGGATAAGCTGTACTCATCATTGGATGTTATGCTGATATTGCCAATAACAATAATAATTAATAATTGTTTGGAATATATGTCCTAAAACTACAATATGATTATGAGGGATGCCATAGCGAAGGGCTCCAGAAATTTTAACCTCCTGGGGTTCTGTAATGTGCATTTTTAAATCTAAGCTCATGGGCCTCAAGCATTTTCAGCTTCATCCGAAATGGTGGCTGCCATGGCCAGGACTCGCATTTGGTTCAGCAGCTGAGCCCATCGCCCCTAGACTATCGTGGTGTGTCACCAATCACAGGTCACGCTTGTTCACTCTCAGCACCAAAGACAATTTACCATCTGCAAATGGCTTTGGCTTCACTTTTTAGCTGCAGAAGGGCTCTAAAGCTAAAGAAAACATGGCTTTGCGCGTTTGCCTTGTGTTTAGCTAGGAAAAAGTGATTTGAAATAGTGGTGCATATTAAGAGTGCCAAAAGCAGAGAAATTTCTAGAAAAAGAGCTGTCTCTTGGAGTGGTTATCCAAAAGCATCATTGCTGAACACTGAATTTGACTCTGAGAGCGAGATCAGCATTTTTGAAGACCTTGTATATGTCTTAGCTTGTCAGATTTTGCTAGCCAAGAAAGGGCTTCACATGATGACAAGAGCAATCAGGACGATGATAATGCAATACATAATATTTATGCTAGTACAAAGCGCATCTATGCACTTCACATTTTTGTATAGCATATCAATTAAAGTAAATATGGGGCATTTCAGTGTGTTGTATCCCCTCCAGGGCAGCCGGGTAACTTAAACCCGCATCATGGCTAACGCTAATCAAGGGATAGTCATATGGCAGTGGAATTGCTGCGGCTTCACCAGAAAAAAGGCAGTTCTACAGCAACAGATCAGGCACTCAACACGAAAACCAGAAGTAATATTACTTCAAGAAACGCTTACAAACGTGGCTACTTTAACAGGATACGAAGCGCACAACAGCGAAATCAAGGGAAGGGGTTTATGCACGCTCGTAAGAAAGCATCTCAGGTTCGTTGACCACGAACTAAGTGGCATCCAGATGGAACATGCTCTCATCGAACTGGTCCCCACTAAACGAAGGAAAGAAAGCATATTCATATTGAACGTTTATAGCAGCCCGTCAAAGCAGCGTCAACGATTTAGGGTGTTGCTTCAGAAGACGCTCAAGATTGCCTGGTCTCAGGCGCTTGTTGTAGGGGGTGATTTCAATGCAGCAGACGCAGCGTGGGGTTATGGATACAGCACGGCCAAGGGAAGACAACTCGGCCAAGACACGCAGGAACTCGACTTCACTTTAATAACAGATCTGGCGCACCCGGCATAGGCAACTCCACCACCAGGAACACGACTCCGGACTTGACCTTCGTAAGAAATGCCCGCGCGGCAGCCACCACGTGAAAAAACACATATGCTGACCTGGGGAGTGACCACATGGTTATCTATAATCACGTTTCGAGATCAGACAAAGTGCAGGTCAGTAAATCAAGATTTGAATGGACTGATTGAGACGATTTCAGAAAAAAACGAAGGCAACAAGAGTCTACAGAAGATGAAATCACGGACATTGAAGTGTGGACCTCCTCACTGGTAGCGGATACCATCAACCAAGATGATGATGATATGTGGGGTTTAACGTCCAAAAACCACCAAATGATTATGAGAGACACCGTAGTCAAGGGCTCCGGAAATTTCGACCACCTGGGGTTCTTTAACGTGCACCCAAATCTGAGCACACGGGCCTAGAACATTTCTGCCTCCATCGGAAATGCAGCCGCCGCAGCAGGGATTCGATCCCGCGATCTTTGGGTCAGTAGCTGAGTACCTTAGCGACTAGACCATTGCGGCGGGGTAACTTCAACCAAGGCAATTGAAACCGGGATCTAGACAGATGAGATGGACAGCCGCCTGGCACATCTCATTGAGGCTAAGAACTCTATCTTAGCAAGATGAAAGGGACAGGGGCTCAATGGAAGACTCAGAAAGAAAATAGTGGAGATGAACTGCAACATCGAGGAACACTGCCGCATTCTCAACCGCCAGCAATGCAACGAATTACGTAATTCAGTGGACGGGCAACTACACAATGGCAAAGCGTGGCACCTGCTCAAGTACCTGCTGAACGAAACGAAGACCAAGTCACATCAGAGAGACTGCCTTGCCCATCTGTTACACAAGGAAATCGAAAAGCACGGTAAAGATTCAGTGGCTGCCAGTACCTACCACACACTTCATCTGTGCCACACCGCCCGCACAAGGCGGACGCAAACGAGGAATTGGATAAAGAGTTCAGCGTAGAAGAGATCAGGACGGTGCTGCACATTCCTAACAGCATATCGGTGCCGGGTCTAGATCGGGTATTGAATCGTGCTCTGAAAAATCTCGGGGACCGATTCATTCAGTGGTTAACTGAATACATCAACAACCGCTGCCAGCGTGGTTGCTTGCCGGAACAGTGGAAAACTGCGAGAATGCTCCTTATCTCTAAACCTGATAAAGCGCCAAGCCTCGACAATCTTTGCCCCATATCGCTGACGTCATGTGTCGGCAAGACTATAGAGCACGCTCTACTTAACCACTGGCAAGCCTATCTAGAGCAAAAAGGGGCATATCCACCATGGATCATCGGAGTCCGCCCACAGCTATCCACACAAGATGCAATGCTACAGTTGAAACACCACATACTCGATGGCAACACGAAAGAACCAAAGCAATTCTTGGCCTCGACCTCAAGAGCGCGTTAGATAAAATCGCACACTCGGCGATACTGCACCAATTATCTCGGCAAAACCTCGATCTACGTGCTGTTAAGGGTAGGAAGTTGATGATGGCATCCCACCGCTGCCACCAGTTGTAAAAGGTATGAGGTTCATGATGGCATCCCACCGCTACAGGTCGATAGCAGGTACGGCGAGTATCCTTAGTTAGCTGGCTCCCCACTGTCGTCCGCATAACCAATCTTCGCCAGTGAAGGGACGCATTAAGAGAGAAAGAACGAAGGTTTATTTACATGATAGTTGAAAGATTGAGCTGTACACAGAGTCAGCTATGTACAAAGACTCGGCTCATGACTCCATTCTTATTTACAAAATGTCTTCGGCTTTTATAGCCTGCCGTCTCCTTACACAGAGGTCCGAAGGAGACGGTGACCTCTCTTGCCACAAATCAGGTGACAAAGTCTCTGTGGTCTACCCACCAGAAAGGTTGCAGATATTGCACCACTCAGCTGGGCGAAAAGGTCCAATGATAGCACGAGCGCACCACACAATGACGCACCCGGCCCACGCCTTGAATGCACCGCAGGGCGAGGAGGTAGAGTCTGGAGAGGGAAAGTGAGCTCCTCCGGGGAGATGGCCGCTGACACGACTGTCAGCAGCGGTCGATGGCTGCTTTCAGCTACAGGTTTCCAGAACTCTCTTGAACATGGAAATCCAAACGCTCGAGCCCTGAGAACTGCTTCTTCGACGTCTTCCCACGCTTCCGGAATGACGATCCTTTTGTGACGATTTCGTGTTGGTGCCTACAGCCGAGTCGAGAGGTTGACTTTATGAGAACTTCCACAGTGGCACCGTCCCATGCTGTTTGAATCCGTTCAACAAAAGGGTTGTTTCGCGAAGCTTTCATTGAGACCAGACCACTACCTGGAACCTCTACAGGACAGCGTCTAGCCGACTGGACACCAATGGGGTTGAAAGCCACCTAGTAGACCAGCTTACGCACAATGGCGTCTGTCCAGACGAACAGCCGGGCCAAACGTAACAGTGCGTACAACTACGTAAAAGATTTCTTGACGGACAGGGGAGCCATTTTCGTGGCAGGAAACCTTCAGCTAGAAGACCCAATGTTGGGAAGCACCGGCACCCTGCAAGGATAGGTAATCTCACCCATACTCTGCAACATAGTCATGATTGGGCTCACTAAAAAACTGCAAGCAATTGAAGACGTCCGGTACTCAATCTACACCGATGACATTACTATCTGGGTGCACCGAGGCAGTGATGGCCACATCGAAACGGTGCTACAACTAGCAATCGACTATGTAGAGGAATATCTCGAGGGAACGGGACTACGATGCTCGCCGAAATAGTCCGAACTCCTGCTCTACCGCCGCACACAGAGGGGTAGACCACTCCGGAATAGAGGAATGACGTCGAGGACCAGACGAGAATACGAAGAGATCAGGATACGCACGAGTATGGAGCAACGATCCTGATAGTAAGGAGAATAAGGGTCCTCGGCATGATCATCTAGGCAAACCGAGCTAATGGCAAAACGATCACTAAACGAAAGCACGCAAGACTACTAACGCCATGAGAGTTCCCAAAGGGGTCACTAGCAGAAGAAGCGGAATGAGAGAAGATAGTCTCATACGACTTATACACTCTTTCGTCTCATGTGTCACGCTGTAGACGTTGCGGCATTTCACAACTGGTGCAAGGCAGAAGAAGCCAAGATCAATGTCCTCATCCGCAGAGTGTACACGTTGGCACTTGGTCTACCCGAGTCCACCAGCACGCACCTGCTGCTTTAACTTGGACTTCACAACACTCTAAGCGAAATAGCCGAGGCGCAGCGTGCTTCACAACTGTAAAGACTATCGGGCACGACAGCGGGACGCCAGATCATGGAAAGTCTCGGCATCTGTTACTACACCGAACAAAGCCAGAAAGTCGCTGTGGCAGACGCGATCCGACAAACGATAAGGGTTGACCCAACTCCAGGGAACGTTTACCCGGAACACAACCCGGGCAGAAGAGTCGCCAGGACAAGAGCTCTCTTGCGCTCTTACACCGAGGAAGTGAGAGCACGGTTGCTTGACGCCGCTAAATACGCAGACCGCTCGCGATATACAATCATAGTCCTTGATCGGAAAGGCGAAACGAGAATATCGGCAAGTGTTCTATGTGAGCACGCACAAGAAGCGGAGGAAGTAGCGGTGCCACTCGCGCTCACGGATTTGTCATGCACTACTGTCCTCTGCGACTAGAGACATGCGGTAAGAAACTTTGCCAGAGGATGGATCTCGCAACAAACGGCCAAAGTCCTGCACAGTAGAAAATTCTATCAGGAGGCAGAGCTTCAAACCAGGCTCCTGTGGTTCCCGGCTCACATGGGAGAGCTATCGGAGACACACCGCAACCTAAACAAGATGGCACACGCCAAGGTGCGCGAACTCGTGAACTGCGTCGGCAACCGTCCTCTATGGGGAAGCACTAAAGACCGTTTGACGACCTATAATGAAATTACCAAGGCTTTCTACCTGGCCCGCCGAAGCTTTCCTCCGCCCAGCAAGAAGCTGAACAGGATGCAGGCGGTGGTCCTTTGACAGCTGCAGACGAACACGTATCCCAACCCATCACTGTTTAACAGACTATACCCTAATATATATCCAACAAATATATGCAAGATTTGCCATTTTGAGGTTGCCACATTAAATCACATGCTCTGGAATTATGCCAAAAATCTGCAAGGTGCTAAGTGCTAAATCCAGAACCCTCCCGCCGCCGTGGGTCGCTGCGCTGTGCAGCCCCTGCCTCGGCGACCAACTCTGGGCATCCAGCAGGCCCACGAGGCGGCGGTAAGGCAAGGCCTTGACGTCCCCGCGCGGGAGACCTAAGGCCCGGTCAGCGAAAGCTATGCCGGACTACCAATGAAGTTGTTACCAACAAACCAAAGAAAGGTGCAAATGAAAAAAAGTTATTACACACCTGCACACATTAACAACTGATCAGTCATTCATACACATGTTATACAAGATAAAACTAAAGAGTGTTTCAGTAGCACACTGCTTTTTCAAAATAGTTGTTTCCAGATTGCGTCCTCTAAGTTCTTTTTCCAAATGACTTGCTTTGCATTTAGCAACTAGTTGCACATTATCAATGAGCAAGTTGATTGAAACTCACATAAGTTTCAAAGTGATAATCACATGGCGTGACATTATCAAGCCATTTTTCAAAATATTTCAAACAGCAAAAAAAGGACTTTTAAAACCACTATACACAGGCTGTGACAAATAAGCAATCTTTACAAAAAGATAAGCACCCTTGTCCACCGCAAGTGAGAAAATGTAAAAGGTGTGCTAAACCAATTTGTTCTGTTAAGCGCACCCATTACAGAATTTCACTTGTCTGCATGTAATATAACCAAATAAAGAGAGCACTAAACCTATTTGATTACAGTACCTGAATTTTGATAATCTGTAGAAACAAGCCACCCCTTCTGCCATAGGGCTACACTTTTCTGTGTAGTAGCCACCAAAGCCATGATCCCCAAGTATAGGCTCTAGGTCTTGTTGAAAAACTCTGCGATCAACTTCTTGAAGGCACACGAGGTCTCCCTTGTAACCTGCAGAGGCATGAATTTATTCGCAACTGTAGAATGCAATGCAGCAGTGAAATAAAACCCAAACACTCGATACAGTTGGATTCAAGTGAATGAATACAGGTTAATTTAGTGCATTATTTAAATTAATTTATGCAATAGTGAAACAAAGTTCACCAATATGCTGTAATCTGAGTGTCCATCAAAATAAAGAGCAGCTTACCCAGTAGCTCTTTTACAAGCAGCTGCTTCCTGTAGCTTAAGTCGAGGGCATGCGCTGCACAATATGGAAATAGTTCAGACCTTGTGAACTTGGTGTCAGCATACACATCAGCAAGGAGGTTATAAGAAATACATCGGAACCTGTGGCGATAATGAGAGTAAAAAGTTACAGTGCTGTTTAGAGGCAGCTTAGTTCAAAGCAATGCAGGTTGGGCTTTCAGGAACCAGCACAATTGTTTAGTATTTAATATACCGACTTCTTGGTTTGTAATGGCAGGGGCTAGATTTCTGCGTTTGTGCAATGATCACTTGTTCTTGGTGTTCCAACAACAGCATCTGGGCTGTGTTATGACAGTGTCGGCATCTGTCACTACACCAAACAGTGTCTTGCTGATACTTACTGCAGGAAATGCTGAAATTTTGTATCTGCAAATTTAATTTACATGCCCTGCATAAGAATAGATAGTGCACTGGAATGCTGGAACTTAGGAGCACATGCACTTCCCAGAACACACATGTACAGTGCTTGGCTGGACTCATCGGAGGCAGCATGTGTTGGTCTAAAGGAGCACTGACACAAAATTTAAAAGGCGAGGTAATGAGCGAGATAGATTTATGTGGAGACATACTCAACATCTATGAGATATGAAGGGCAAATATAGTATAGAACATATTTAAAATCAATTTTAAAGTGCACGCCGCACGACTGAGCGAGATGCGGAGTCCCTTGTGACGCCGACATCAATGCAGGGACAATGTCAACAAACCTACGTCAAAAGTTTGTGTTGGCTGCTTGCCGGTACATGCCTTACGCTTGCGCTATGTTTGATTTTCTCCTCCCTGCCTGCAGCTTCACGTGTACTGGCTGTGCAGGATGTGAGTGCGGCACCCACTCGCGCGTGCTCTTGCACATGGCACCCATGTCACAGTATTGCATGGTCACGTGGCCAGCTGTGTTTACCTTGCCCGTGTAACTGCTCTTGCCTCACTTGGTGCTCTTTGAAACTAAAGCTAAGACTGAGACTGGGCACTCTAAAAACGTCTCTAAATAAATAACTCTCATGCATTCGTGCTAACAAGGCTTCCAGTCATGATAAGTGGGTCATAAGCAATCTATTGTGATAAAAAAAAAAACACGGTAAAAGTTTTTTGTCAGTGCTCTTTAGAGTACAAGCCATTGTCCAAAATCACCCATCATTTTTGTGACATCGGCTTTGCCCCCCTCTCCACTTATTACACAGCCTCCCAAATCTCAAATAATATCATGTGAGCATTCACCATATGGCATGGGGATGCCCTATAACAGCTCAAAGTGGCCAGATTGATGAGAGTAAGTGCAAGCATGTAACGTACACTCCCATACCCGAGCACCATTTACCACCCTCTTTACTTCAAGAAAAATGTTACCATTTCTGAAATTGAACTACTGCATCCACATATGCCCTATAGAACTAAGAAATAAAATGCATACATTAATCAAAATAAAAGTAATTTATTGAATAGATTAGGCATATTTAGCTAACAATGGCGAAGCAAATTATTAGGGCACATTAATTCCTGAAAGTGAACACCTTAGCAGACAACACTTGTTGGTGTGCGTGATGCAGGGATGTGTACTGATGTGCACCAAACGCTTCTCTTCATATTAAGACACCAATATTCAATGTTGTCAATGCTGGCACAGAATTATTCTAGAATTTGGGATGCTGTATACTCAAACTGTCGTCATAACTCCTGTCCAGTGCTTGATCCGTGAAAATAAGCACACGTACACTTACAGAAAATGTGACGAAACTGTACAGCACCTGCTGCACACTTTTTTAAAGCTCTAGCTAGAAACAAGATATGAAATGTCGCTAGCACATTTGCAAGCCATTTGGGTTTTGTCTAATTTAATAAAAATGACACACATCTCAAAGCTTATTTTAGTACTACAAAAATGTTTCATAGTTCACGTCAAACTGAATCATAGCGGTCCAGAAATTCAAGAACTTTCAAGGAAAAAAAACAATTCTGGGGCTTTGAAGACTTTTCAATTTCAAAAATTTTCAAGGGTTCCAATGACTGCATTTGTTGTCTTGAAACCATTAGTGCCACCACAAACTTCTTACAGGTTACATGAAAGCACGTTGGCTTTCCAACTATGCTCATTGTCGGAGCTAATTACACTGAAACCTCACTATAACAAAGTTTCATCTTATAAGAAGATAAGTTTGTTATATCGTAAAATTTGTTTAAAGGTTATCTTAATGCTGTATCTATTACAAGACAATTTTTCATTTACATCACTAAAACCAATATTTTGTTACATCCTTGTTTATTATATGAGGTTTGAGTGTAGCATATTGTACTACTTCACTGCACCACTTATATGGCACAACTACAGTGCAGTCGTACTGCATCATCAAAGCATAGCACTTTGATAAGACCCAGAGAATTTTCAGGGAGCGAGATATGTTACCTTAGACAGGCAGACAGGCACACAGATTTTCTAGGGTAATTAGCTCTAGAATATTTACACATTAAAAGCACATCCTGCTTGTTAGACAAGATTATTGATAATACTTACAATGAAAAATATATGCTGGATTTATACTTAGGCAAAAAATATTCTTTTGAGTAAGCAGAGTCATTACAGAGTATGTAATATTGTATCATACCTACGAAAGAGTTGTTTAACAACAGACAATATGTTCAAATAAACATTATCTATTCTGAACAGTTTACACTGACAGTGGTGGGAATGCCTTCCAGAATTTCGGAGCAGCCATAGGAGCAGGCAAAATCTGCTTTTGAAGCAGCAACCCCTGTGTTTGGAGTACACACAGTGTTTCCATGAGACACACACACAAGAAAGAAAATTTAGCTTCCTTAGTTTAATGTCCCTCAATTTGAATAATCATTTATACAGAAGCAGTAAGCCCACAAAATAAGCACAAAAAATACCAAAGTAGGATTACTTACAAAAGTGGTAACACAAGAGAGTCTAGAATATTGCACTAACAAGCTCGCTGCAGCATGAAGTTCATAGCAGTGCACGCACGCACACATTGAAGGTACATACATGCCGACAACCTGCCGGGAACGCAGCTAACTATGCACTAAACTCATAGTAAGCATTAACCATCAAGCACCTAAGCATGCGCAAGGTTTCCTTTCGGGAGAACAGGGGGGGGGGGGTGAAGTTTGTCACAGTGCCCCCTCCTCCCTATCATGTCTACTTTCATCCACCCCCCACATTACGTCAATGTACGGGGCTGGCTTATCGCCCTCTGTGCCGCCCCTCCCCCCTTCATGCGCACGTCTATGACCAAGAACCAGTTTGCAATTTTTGTGTGTGCCATGTCTGCTAAAAAAGTAATAATACAGTGCCATAGCAAATCTTGCCAAAAGTGCCCACCATGAAGCCAGTTCTTTCCTTTTCCCAACGTTTGGAAATAATTGGCATTCTCGCACGACAGTCCGATAGCACGTGGTGGCAACACCAAACAGCATTCCGAAACTACAGCGGAGTTTCGGAATGCTCTTCAAACAGCACCAGAAATAAGTACTTTTTTTTAACAGCAACCTACTGCGAGCTTTCACTCAGAAATTTCCCTGTTCCCCCTTAGTTACATAAAGCAAATGTTTGATACTTACATAACGTTTCAGGAACTTGGTCAAGTATGTGTTCCAGATGTCAAAAACATTGGGCCACTTAAACAATGCAACACCTTTTTCATAAGCCTTAAATACGAGTGAATAAAGTAGGTCTCGCACAATATACACACTTTCTTGAAAGTAATTAAAAGTTCCAAAGTAAAATTCGGCCACTACTACCGACGTTTTGCTATGCGACACTTGTGCAGCACTATACATGGCTATGCTATGCTTTTCTATCTTCCTCCTTGCCCCTGCTTCCCTTTCCCACCTCCCTGCAATACCATACAATACAAAGCTCTCTCCTTATCACAGTCGCTTCTCTCTTCCTGCTCTTGACGTTCTGGAGGTCCCTGAAGCAGACTTAATACGACAAACGAAGCACTGCTGTGCTTTTCGGAGTAGTCGTAATAACGTAAGCTAGCTTCTCCGCTGCGGACGGCAAGGCGGGGGACAGACATTGTGATACCTAAAGTGCAGTATGAAATGTGCTAATATCGGCGTCACAAGAGCGTGCACATATCATTGCTTGTTCATTAGGTCAACTGTTCATTGAAACGCTGGATTAACCATGACTAGCACTGTACCCATACAATGCGCTGTCGAATGTGTACTTCAATGTGAAAGTTGCGATGTGGCGCTGCCATTTGTGCCGCTAGTTGCCAAACAGTTTTTTTGTTTTGCACGGCAATTTAGAGATTGTTTATTATTATTATTATTATTATTATTATTATTATATTATTATTATTATTATTATTATTATTATTATTATTATTATTATTATTATTATTATTATTATTATTATTATTATTATTATTATTATTATTATTGACGACTTGTAAATATCTCGTCGTCGTCCGAAAACATCATCCGCCTAATTTTGATGGCGCAGTCCGTGCCAATGTATCTATGAAGGTGTTCTGTGGAAGCACGGAGGAAGGACTTCCTCAGTGTGTGGAAGTATCTCTAAACGTTGGCCCATGCAGCCTGCTTATAGCGCATTGCCACTTTAGCAGCCTGTAGGCGCGATATTAGGCTACAGGTGACAGCAGCAATTTTGGAACAATTTATCGTGATTTCATATACATTATCGTGAATAATTCTTGGTTGATCATGTAGTTTGCATTATTATTAAACGTCTCATATATTTTGCACTGATAATGAGCGTTTTTAGCCTGTTTTAGGCCTCTATAGACCACCGCGCGATTGCGTCACATCAGACAGTGGATGGACGAAACGTACACTTGAAATATAGGTTAATATATATTACGGTTGTTGTTCAGCGACAAAAAGACATCCATCTGACCGCCAAGGAGGTTAAGTTCTAAGTATAACCTCCTTGCTGACCGCTCGCTATATATATATATATATATATATATATATATATATAGCGACAAAAAGCGACAAAAAGCGACTCTGACGAAGGCTGGTCCACCAGCTGAAAACGTTTAGTAAAGACGCTTCCACGAAAGTTTCGTCGCCCCTTTTTTGCCTATTTATAT